TATTCAAGTTAGATGTATAGCATTGCTTAATTAATAACAAAAGCTATTTAACTGGATGGACTGTAACATTTCTCTTTAATATTAGGGCTGCTCAATTAATCGTATTTTAATCGCAATTACGATTTTGGCTTGCAACGATTATGAAAACAACATAATCGAAATAAAACGATTAGTTTTTTTTTATTGGTTTTTCAGTTGAATTATTCTTAAAGTTCATGGTAATCAACTGTTGAAAACATACTCCTCAAAAAAAAAAGTTTAAATGTATGTTTTCAAAGTAAATGGATAATCATTTTTAATAATCGTGATATCAATTATTGACCCAAATAATCGAGATTATGATTTTTGCCATAATCGAGCAGCCCTATTTAATATGTGATATAAAAGACATAATTAAAGGTGAAATGAAGGTGAGAACAGCAGGGGGAGTGCGTCTGTAATCAAGCAGTCTGACATGCTTCCTGTATTCTTTATACATCCGTAGGAATCAGTGAGAAATGGGTTTTCTAACATAAATTCACTCAACAGCAGCGCTCAACTATTTTCTATCACTCCGGCGTTCCCTGCATGTCATCTCGAGTTTGTTTGATCATTTTGTAATGAGACACAAATGTGTGTTTCATTCTGTCTTAACTCCCGATTTGATGTCACCACTTCTGAAACTCTTCTACCACACTCAGACAAATCCAAACTCAATTTTGCTAAAGTGAGGCGGACAGCCGTGTACTACACAGCTCATTGGAAAGCGCTTGGCGTTGTTCTCAATGAGTCTTTGTTTGCCTGCGGATTCCAGTGACCTTGCTGGACACCGGCAGGGAGAGGGAGTGAGCGAAAGACAAAGCAAAAGAGAGGGAGGTTGATATAGGAAGAGAGGGCAAAAGAGGAGACAGAGGAAGAGAAGAGAAAAAGGAAAATAAGAAAGCACGAGAGGTAAAATAATCAGAGAGGGGTACAAAACAAGTCTTGAGCAAGAGAAAATGAGAAAAAGAGGTTTAGGGGAAGAGACGTGGATGAAAACAGACGAGCCGGAGCGGAAAGACAAATGAGAAAGAGCTGGAGAAACAGAGAGGAAAGTATGATAAACATACAGACAAACAGAGACGGACAGTGAGTCAGAAGGTGTGTGTGATTTATAAATGAAAGAGAGGGTTATGAAAGTGTGTACTTGTGTATGAGAGAGAGACAGAAGGAGGGCAGAGAAGTGTCTGACAAAAGGCTTTTGTTTTGAAAGTGGCCATTTTGAATCTTCTCCTGGTTCCGGATGGCTCCACTTCACTTCACTGTCTGTGTCCCAGCCTAGTTGTTTGGCCTAGTTTCTCATTAAGTCTCCATTTATACGACGACAGCGTTTACTCTGTGTCGGCCCGCTCACTATTTATGGCAAACATCATTACGGGTTCCTGGAGACTAGGCGCAGCTTGATGCCACGCTGTTGAAAAGAGTTTCTCTCGAGGGCAGCGCGCGATCCTGTAACATTTGTTCTTTGTGCTAATGCGTGTTGAAGCCTGTTAAATACAAGTAGCAAACACTTTAAATACGTGCCAACCATTTTTTTAACCAGATAAGACCCTCTGACATTCAGGTTGTGACTCAGCTGCCGAAACAGCTACCGATTTAAAGAAAGAGAAGAAGAAATGAATTCACAATGTCTCATTTGACTGTCAGAGAATATAACGCGACAACGCTCTTCTGCAGCCAATTCTCAGATCTAATAAATTGTTAAAAAGGACAAAAATGTAAGGTTATTTTACAAGGATGGATAAGCAAGTGTCTTCTTTCTTGTTTGTAATAAGTTTACAAAAGAAAAAAAGGTCTGATCTTCAAGAAACTTAGTTAAAAGAGTGTAGCATAAGCCAAGGAAGAACCCATTACAATTTGGAGCAGATAAGAATCACGACTGATTCACAAATTAATGTTCACTTCCATTACCATCGGGAGATAGGATGTAGCCTTGTCTGTTCTCCCTGAGTGCCCTTCTAATTGTTAACTAAGACTAATTAGCGGTGATTGATTAACCAACTCCAGCAGGTTTTCAGCTGTGGCTTATTGATTTCTATGCTGTGCGAGTATTAACTGAAAAGTGTTGGTTGACATTTCAGTTTAGTGTGCAACAAGATCAGTAATAACTGTTATTTATCAAGCCTACATTTCATTGTAAGAGCTGTTTTATATCATTGTAAAATAATTATCTTAACCTGCTTGGATATGAAATTAATTCAAAAGTGTTATGATCACCGAACCTGAAAAACGTCAAAAATCTGCAGAACGATTATGAGCCCTATAATACTCAAATCTACTGTATGATTGATTACTGCTATGTGATTGGGTATTTAATATTGACTCTGATCTGGTGTTACATCATCAATATACTCTACTATATTACGAAGGTAATACTTTGCACATGCGGTGTATGAAAACGCATTGTGAAAACGTGTCTGCAGTATATTGCAGGTTTGGATTAAAAGGGTTACATCCACAAAGAGAGACTCCCACAGTAGAGACTGCTCACACACACACACACACACACACACACACACACACACACATACACACACACACACACACACACACTTCAGTGGTTCTCAAACTTTTTTCAATAATGTACCCCCTTTGAAAAAATATTCAGCCATGTACCCCCTGATCAGCGCAAAAACTATTTGTTAGGGGGAAAAGCCTATATAAAGAGGTACAGTACAGCGCTGCACCATCAGTGTCTGATGTATTAAAACAACAACCTTGTAACTGAGAAACACTTAAATGCTACATTTCAAATGTTTACAATCCATCACTAAATTCATGGCAAACCAATTTTAACATCATGCAATAACACTAAGACGACATTAGTTGCTTTGAACTGATCTTTTTAATAAGTTGTACAATTTAGTGAGAAATATGGGCTTGTGCTTCACTGAGGATCTTTGTTATTCTGACAGGGAGGCAAACTGCAGCTCTTACACTTTGTGTTTTGAAATATGTGTAACTCTGTTAATATAAAACCCACATTGCTCGTTACTTTTCCTAAAATTGGTATATTTATTTATTTGTTTTGGGGCGTGGGGAATGAAGAGAAAAAGATATATGAGCATTTTATGAGCATGGGATTTTGACCCCTCATATAAACATATGCATAATGCTGCGCTATACTTTGCGGCCACACGCCGTTGCCAAGCAACGCTTATTGTTTAGGTCCTTTGATAAGCAGGCAGTCATATCATTAGCTAGAACTAGCTAGATCTGATAGATTTGGACATAAACGCGAGAGAAGTCTAACCGGACGCAAGAGAGGGATCAGAGATCAGATCAGCTGCTGCTGACGGAGAACACGCAGCTCTGCATGATCACAGCTCCGCCGCTGTGACGGACCGGTGAGCAAAGCAAAATACACTGAGAGTTAGACCGAACACACTTAGCTAGTTTATCTACTCTGGAACTAGCTAAACTAGTTATACATATATTTATTCTTTACTGTCGGGTCACTTATTACAGGTTCAGCGAGGGAGAGGAAAAGAGAGCACCCCGTTTATTGTTCCCATTTTATTATCCAGAATTACTGTAAACCTTTGAATAAAGTATTGAATCTTCTATTAGTAGTTTGTTTAAATATTTGTTTATATTTTATTCATTAACATAAATCTCACGTACCCCCTGCAGTACTCCAACGTACCCCTAGGGGTCCGCGTAACCCCATTTGAGAACCACTGGTCTACTTCATACATTAACAACAGGACGATGAATAGGGCATAACCTCACTTTGCATCCTCTGTGGGCTCACATACACACACGCACACACACACACACACACACACACACACACACACACACACACACACACACACACACACACACACACACACAGGCTGTTGTGCATGCCTCCACAGAAGCACAGATAAACAGGTCCACATGCAGAGACCTCGGCCTTCTTATACAGTGAGTCACAACAGCCCGATTCATCTCCATTGATCTAAACCTTTTCAGTATCCTCTGAGTCAGTCCTCGTGTTATTCCTTTCTGCGAGTCATCTTGCATCATTCATAAAGCGGCTTATTCCACTGAAGCGTTCCTATAAATGAGATTCACTATGTTATACAACCGCAATGTCAGAGTGTTGCTTCACCATCCATCGTACAGACGTTTTTTTGACCATCTGTTCAGAAGTTAATCAACCCGTAGAGCCCATCCATGCTTACATGCAGTAATAAAACAGATATATAGTGCTAGCTGGGATATGCTGAGGCAAAATAATTCAGCTGGGATGAGTCATAGAAACGGCTTAATATTATGGGATGTCTTTCTCTTGATGTTGCTCTAGCTAATTAAGCCTTGTACCGAGCTACTCGGGTCTGTTTGAAGTATACAAGACACTCACTTTAATGGTTTGCTTTGTGCAATTCTGTGTACTTACATTACTTTTGAATATGTTTACAACCCAGGCTCCTCAGATATATAGATAGGGCTTCAGTGCTTATTGTATATGTACACACATTTCTATCTGAGTTAATTTCCTCCAAATATCGTCCTGAAATGTATCGATTATATTGAAAATGCAGAAATTACAACCAACCCATCTCGTACTGGAGGTTAATAATATAAGGCAGCATTATCATGTTGTGCTCTTAGTCATAATGCATGATTGCTAAAGTATGTGAGATTATTTTAGCTTACGTATCATTTTGAAAAACACACATTTATGACCTTTAAATTGGATTCATTTTGGATTGGACACATTTTATCTGTGTTGGTAATTGCATATTACTGTGATTACAAAAACTGTCTGTCAAGGACATTAGGCTCATTCCACAGGTGCATTCAGGTGGAAGTTTTGAAAGAAAATGTAAAAAGTAAATGGTAGTGCACACTGACCCCTACTGTTGATCACATGTTATCACCCTGTTCTGTAAAACCCACCCCATGGCTCACTGTGGTGATTAAAGTGGAAGCAGCAGGGTCACTCAGTGGTTAATGGAGACAGGAAAGGTCACTGTGTTTGTGGTTTTGTTTAGGATCGGAGTGCTGTGTGCCTACGCTGCCAACCAGAACCTGAGCTCTCAGGTGAAGAACATCCGGAGATTGGTGAACAGCAACATGAGGGACCTGCACACCTTCGTTAATGACACGCCAATGGTGAGACAGTAATGTAAAGTGGTATTCTGGAGAAGATACGGTTGGATTTTCTCTTTGCTTTGTGTCCTATAGCGCCAACGCAATATTAAACCATGTTAAATTACAATAAAATACATTGTAAAACAGAACCATGGATCAGACAGCAGATGGTTGGTTTGAGAATAAAGCTCCTAGTAATGGACATTTTAGCTAGTAAAATAACTTGAGGAGCCCAGGCTTTGACATTTACTTTACTTATAGGTGTTGCATTGGAACTGTTTGTATTGTCGTGATGGTCCTTTGTATATTAGGTAATTTTCTCCATTTCATTCTGACTGAAAATGACACTGTGCTATGCTTCGAGTGTTTCTTGCCGTCTATGACGAAACTAATAACCTAATTTTCATTTGTTTCCATTTGTAACACTCTGCTCTCTTGTGTTTTCCTGTTTGCAGCAAATTGATTACCTAATATCCCAATACGCCACAGCCAAGAACAAAGTCATCTATGACCTAGATAGTAAGTAGACCTCCTCTGCGCCTCTGACGGTAAATTCAGAGGACAGAAACGACTCACTGAGTTCTCGCTCTCGGTCATATATCATGCTTATTATCCGAATTCACTGTCTACTGTCCTTGATTTGTTTTCATAACAGATTTATGACATAACAAGGTGTAGAAACCAAAAGCAGTGCCTGTTATAGAGGATCTCTCGAGTATTCATCTCTACTTTTGTGATAGTACAGCAGGCATTTAAGTTACACATGAACTTAATAAACAAAAGGGACTGTTTGTTTGTTTTCTTCTGCTGATCTGATGCTGCGTTCTCTACAGATATAGGTCCATTATTAGGTGGAAGGATACACGATCAGCTGGATAAGGAGGTCCATCCTGCATTGGACAGAGTTCTCAATATGGCTGGAGGTACGACTGCTTACTTTTCATTTCCTCTTTATTACGATATGATCAGGTTATTGTCAGCTGCAAGACACTGATGCAAAATGTTATCAAGTGACATAAAGAACCTAGCTTTTATATCAAATGTAACCCATTGTTGCACAAAGACTATATTTACAATGATAAGGAAATGTCTTTGAATATAGTATGGCAATCTTTGGGGCAAATATCTGTTAGATCGCACGAAAAATCATACTTTTCAGGAATTTCATTTAACCCTTAGATGCATAAGTGGGGATCTTTTTGACCCGGTGAGGTGGTTTTCTTGAAGTATCTTTGTAATTACATTTTTTTATCTTTTCATATTCCAGCTATTCCTCAAAAAACATGTTTTGGATATCATGCCATTCAAATTTAAAATGTACATTTTAAGAAAGTGTAGTTTTTGTATTAAAAAGCTTCCATAAGTGGGTCAAAAATGACCCGCATGCATTTTCTATGTGATCCTATGGGAACCTTTGATTCTTATCACCTGTGGCTGTCAGGAATACATTCACTGTGGACCACACTACATCACAAGTGACACCTCTCAGGAAGATTATTTTACACAGCAAGATCTGAAACCTGTCAGTATAATAATAATACATTATATTTTTATAGGGCTTTTCAAGGATCGTTTTACAATATAAGGGGGGGGGGGTATAGGACTATCAAACTTGATCAACCGGCATGGATTGATGGGGGGTGGGCTATGAGTAGACACGAGGAGAAGAGATGCGTTTTGAAAAGGGACTGGAATACTGTGAGGGTCTCAGAATAGCGGAGATCTTTGGGACAATATGTTCCAAACGTTTTTTTTCAAAATGTCTAAAATTATAAATAGTGAAAATTAAATATAAAATATTTCTAGCGTGAACCAAAATATAATACTAAATATTATACAAGTGATTCTTCTTAATCAAAATGACAAAAATTGCATAAAAACACATATTATTCTAATACGGGTCCTTTTTGACCCACTTATGGAAGAGTGCAGGGTCCAGTCACTCGTGCATCTAAGGGTTAAAAACATTAAGAGAAAGGCTAACATTTGGGTTATTGAATGTCTGCATAACTTTGGTACTCATCATATGTGTTCATATAGAAATACTTGATTGTGTTCATTGTATTTAATGAGAAACAGCCATTTTCTAACACTTTTTGGAAGTCTATTTGAGACGAAATCACCTGTTCAGATTGTCATATTCTGCCATGAAAACAATATACAGTAATGTTTTTTGGAAACACATTTTCATGGAGATCAATGTTAAACATCAGAGTTAATAAAAGCTGTAACTTGTAATTATCTTTTTTACTTGTTCAACATGTATATGTTATGCTTTTTTATAAAGTGAAAATCGAGAGAGTCATCAAAGGTAACAGTAACTAAGTAACTGGAGAATTTACCCACAATCATGTGACCCCTGACCTTGTGACACCAGTGTTGCTCCTGTGATTTGTTCCCTTGTGATCCTCCTTGAGCACTTGGATCTGAGCATCGTCAACAAGCAATTCATCTAAATTAAAACTGCACTACGCCACTAAAGATATTTGGTTTTATGAACTCGCAATCCAGAAATGATGTTAAGCAATATCAGTGCCACTTTGTGACTTTAAAGATATATCTCATACAGACTTGTAAACTTGCATTGATTTCTAAAGGTGAAAAGCACCACCAACACACAGCACAGATGTTTTTTTGAGTGCTTTCACCACATCAATTGTTGTAATGAAGATATATGATGTACATATATAAACCAATATGTCTCACAGTGTTGCTTAGTGCAGTTTTAAGTTAATGGCATCACCAGATCTTGCCAAAATCACAACCCTTTTCTCTCCAATTGTGTTTCCCTGCTGTGAAGTGAGCATACAAAGTTGTGTTTGTTTGACAAGTCCTAGTGCTTTAACTACATGTAACTAATATGACAGCACACTCCCTGTAAATTCATCAACCAGACTTGTAATACAACAGAAACAAGCATTCAGCAATCATCCAGAAAGTTAAGGTGGTAAAACGCTTGATTGCAGATGACTGGAAATTAAGTTTGTGTCCTATGTTGTGTCAGTCAAAGATTTAAAGTATCCGGTATGAATAGCGGTGTTGTATCAGACGTACTGCTAGGGCTTTGTAAGATTAATAATTTGAGAAAACAGTTATAATGCATTAAGCACATCCACCTGAGTACACACACTGTTTCCCCTCCAACACTCTTGTATCTCTGTTATGAATGTGCATGCCAGTGTTTTTTGCATTTTTATCCTGTTACATTTTAAAGGTCTGCTGCAGGCTTCTCTTTGATTGTTAACTAACACTGGCTGTTGTCTTGTGATGCATACAACAATTGCAGGGGAAAACTTGCCAAAAGAAATGGCAACAAATTCACATTAAAGCATTCCTGTTTGGTTATTGTTTGCCGAAAGCTGTTTGGCGAGAGAAGAGTCCAATTTCAGACGCAGGAGATTCACACAGACACACTCTATATGCCAAACCTAACAAACTCCAGGGATTGAATATGAAACTGTAAGATATTCTCGGCTCAGGCCTAGTCCTAATAATAAGTGTAACATGAGCCAGTATTACTCAGAGTCCATTTTGTTACTGGCCGCTAAATCTGTTTGATTAGTAAAACAAAAAATCCTCCAGAAACATTGACAAAAAAGTTATTTAACCTCTTTGAAAATAATAGTGAATTAACATACTTCCTAGTATAACATTTACACGTAGTTTCCCAGGGCAGAACTTAAAGATTTAAATCAAATGTTAATTATGAAGTCATTAAGTAATCATTATTGTCCTTATGAGTAATTTTGCCGCTGGATCTCATTAAAAACATTTCTAACAACTGTTTTTAATTAAAATTGTTACCTTGAAAAATAGGTTGGCTAATGAGGAACTGAATAGATTATGCTTCACAATCCAGCTGTATCAACAATGGCTCAACTTATTGAAAAAATGTGAAAGAACACATTTCTAAAGAAAACAAGGACAATGACCCTCTATTGTTCTATTTTTTCACTTTTTTGGGAGGAAAAATTGTGTTAAGAGAGTGTTTTGTTTTATCAGCTATGCGAGAGACGAAGGAGGCTCTGGAGAACGTCAGCATGGGTCTGGAGGTTCTCCAGGAAGGAACGGGGAAGCTCAACTTCAATCTGAGCCTGGTGCGGACCAGCATCAACCGAACGCTCAGCGACCCGGGCTGCCACGACGAGGAGTCGGACGCCACCTCCGCCCAGCTGTGCCGAAACATCCGCCAGTCCCTTTCCCAGCTGCAGATCGGAGCCAACTTCACACGGGTACTAAACTCAGAGCTAATATGACTTTGTTCTCACTGTACTACAAAAAAATGTGTACACACTTGCACTAATTCCAAAGATATTGAAGTGACTGTTATTTTGTATATATTGATTGTTGTGTTTTTATCTTAATGTATGCATATGTATAAATGTGCATTTTTGTATGTTGGATTGTGGGATACAGTATTTCGATCTCTTTGTCTGTACACACAAACTGAAATATTGACAATAAAGTTGACTTTGAATTTGATTGAATTTTACTAAATGGTTGCTGAACTATTCGGATTTTGCTCCTCCACGAAAACAATGTTCGAGCCATTAGTCTGATAACTTAATTACAACCGAATCTTGAAATACTGTCTACACAAACTCATTTAGCATTAATGTATGTTAGGGAAAGGACAGGGATGACAGAGTTGTTGATTATAAAATGTTGATGTATCTCTGTGAATGTGAACTGTATATAATTGCTTCTGTGTCTGTTTGTCTTTCAGCTACCTAAAGTGAACGATCAGCTGGAAAAAATGAACGATGTAATGAGAACGGACCTCAGTGCGATCGTCCAGAAGGTGAACCTAGAACATAAATCTATAGATATTCTTACATTGTCATGTTATTGGCTCGTTGGGATTTATTGAATGTGCTTGTTTCAACACGTTTTTTAAGGTGGTTTGTGTACTTGTGCCTCAGTCAGTGTTTTCCAACAATGGAACAAAATGGACCAAAAATTCCATGTTCAAACACTTTGTCTTTTTTCTCTCACAGGGCTACTCCTCTTTGAACGACACACCAAATATGGTGATTGAACAGACCAGAAGTGTTGTTGAGAGTAAGTGTTATTTTACACGACTAAACTGTCTTCTTAAAGCCAAACATTTCAGTTGTGACTACACCTAAATAAACCACTGAGATGTTTTACTTCTTCGTACAACTCTTTTATTCTCCTACCTTGAGAGTTTGCGCAACATAAGATATATTTTAAGTTAGAATTCACACTTAGCTTTCCAATTAAAATCAAGTCCAACTTAAAATGCACTCCATCTTTCATTTGTGTAACGTTGAATAATTTAATATTAACCAGTCTTTAAGTGTGTTCAATTGGAAGTGTAGCTGGCGGCTTTATTACTTTATCTATTATCTTAATATATGTTTTTATTGAAACTGATGGATTATTGATGGCTGTGTCTCTCAGGTGTGCAAGGTTTGATGGACGGCATTGGAAATAACATCAGCAGCTTCTCCAAAGTGTTCCCTGTGCAGAGTTGCCTTTCCAACTTCACTATCGCTATCAGCCATGCCCATGCCAAGATTGAGGAGTACTACCCTGAAATTGACAAACTGGATTTCTACAGGTGAACTCATCTCCTATTCTTAAAACTGTAAGAGTAAAACAAAGGTAGAGAGAAAGAAAAACATACCTTAAAGTGTAAATACAGAAATGTGCTCTGTGTCAATGCTTGTGTTTTAGGTTTCTGCTCTCTAGCATTCTCCTTTTAGGAACTACAGTACAAGTAATGTGTGCTATAAAAGCTTGCCCTAATATTTTGCATTAATGAAATATTCATATGCGTTCAACATTAGTTCAGTTTAAAATAGTGCACTCGAGGGAAATCTAAGATAATTTAGGAGTCATTTTATTTTCCTGCATCAAGCTTATGTGCCGTTTTATAATAATTGGTTTTTAGCTTTGGCTTCCTTGTCTTACTCAAACACATTTTCCATCCTAACTTTGTCATTTTAAGGCCTCTTACAGTGAAATATCTAACTGTGTGTCTGCTGCTGGCAGGTGGATTGGCTGTATTGCTCTGTGCTGTATGGTGGTCCTGGTCCTGGCCTTCAACTACCTGGGCCTGCTGTGCGGCACTCTGGGATATGACAAACACGCCTCACCTACGACACGAGGCTGCATCTCCAACACAGGAGGAACCATGCTCGTGGCGTGAGTGAACTTTAAAACTGAAGGAGGAGGTTTTTGTCGAAAAATAAATCTTTGATGATGCCAGGGTTCAGGTCACTGCTAGAAATGTCGTTCAATTTATTGCTAGTTAGTGCTAGTGCTAGTTACTCTCAACAACAACTTCTATTTCTGCCACAACTACTGCTACGATTTATCGTACATATAAGCTAGAGTACTTCAGAAAAGTGTAAAGACCAGAGGATTTATTCAGAGTCATGGAAAAGAACCAAAGTGCATTTAGGAACAAAGTTGACCGAGATATTTTATTGAATGCAGAACCAGAAAACAATAACTTTAGTGCATAACATTGTTTAAGGCAAAATACGGTAATTTACTCGAACAGTATTTGTTTCCTACATGATAAGGAAATCCCGTATTTAGGATTTAAAAGGCTCTCATACAAAGGGGAACAAATGTTTTTGAATTTCGAAGCATAAAGCTTTGACAAAGTATTCTAGATGTCGTGATTTTTGTCTTATTTTATATCTAATTTGAGATACTTATTCACATCAAAATGAAACCTCCGCTGATCCTTTTAATTCCCCTCTTTCCACCCATTCCAGTGCTGCTACACCTCCATCTCTGCTTGTTCAGTATTGTTTCTGTACCTGACAGCCCGTGTGTTCTCCTCCACAGCGGCGTTGGGTTCAGCATCATCTTCTCCTTGGTGCTGATGGGAGTGGTGACTGTCATGTTCCTGCTTGGAGGAAACATGGAGAAACTTTTCTGTGAGCCTTTCCACACCAAAGAAGTCTTCAAGGCAAGTCAGGAGTCTCCGGGAAAATAAGCACATTCAGAACTCTTCAATGTGCAGGAAGAAAATGTACAGGGTATCTCCATTAGGGATTTGACCTAACAACTATTAAAATTATATATGTCTGATCGTAGCATTGAAATAAATGTATGGGTTATTAGTGCCGGAACAAAAGAACAGAAAAATGGTTTAAATATTATTTTGGTATCATTTCCTTCTGTGCCTCTCTCAGCTTTCTTGCTGTTTCAGTTCAAAAAGGTGTAATAAAGGGATCATCAACATAAAGCCTTTCTTACTCCAACTGGATACAAAAATATTAGTTCGGACTAGTTCAACCATTATGACCGTATTTAATGACTTAATTTAGTTTTACCACAGCTATACTGCCAGGAAATAAATGGATTGTAACAAGAAATTTTCCATTTTAGTTACAAAACTAAATACAGGAATTGTGAAGCAAGAATGCCGCTTTGTTTGGGTTTGAGTGTTTGTCTTGAAGTATCCTAGCCTTTACTTAATCAGGCCACACTAATGATTGTTTTATTTCCTTGCTATGATAATTATTGATCACTCCTCCTCTTCCTGGCTTTCTCATCCACCAGGTTGTGGACACGCCATATCTGGTCAACCCAGAGTGGAAGAACTTCATCCCGGGCTACATGTACAACGACTCGGACCTGGAGCTGACAGCAGAGAGCTTGTACAGGCAAGGAACAACTTTTATGTATTTAGATGACCGTTTAATGTTTGCCACCTTTCAGAAGCAATCCTTAGGACATTATTATATTCCTCACAACCTACTCCACATCTGTCTTCTCTGCATTTCCTATTGAGATCTGACTAGACGGCTAAATGAATGAAAAAACAAACAATTTATTCAATAATAAGCTGTGGAATTACTGGATGAACAACATGCTGCTTATAATTTAGTTTTGGCGCAGGCGTTGTGTCAGGCATCAAGTATGCAACTGAATATGTTATATCCTTTGATGGGGATGCAAATGAGAAGGAGAGAATGTATTAACCTTGAGAAGTTAATTAGCATCATTTGTCTACAATATCTGTGCTGCTTTTCTTCAGCCTCTTTCTCAGTGGTTACATCAGCTTTCATCATCTCCTTTCAGTGAGAAGCTGCATGCTCAGTAAAGGGGATGGCAGTCTTTATATACTTCCAAATAGAGCAGTGTTTCTTTGACTTGTCTTTTCTTTGCCAGTATTAGCAAGCAGTGCTAATACTGTGTACATGATGTGAGTCTACATGGTATGCAGCTGCCTAATGTTATCGTGGGACATTTATCTGTGTTATTTTGGCAAATATTCCAGGCTTTTTGTGTAACGGTACAATGTTTTCTGTCAGGGAACATGCCAATGTCATGTACTTCCAGTCAGTTTCACTTGGTGGCAGCAAATGTTTTCAATGAAAAACGATTAAGTTGACATTTCCTCTCTCTTTTCTTCTTTTTCTCCATTATGTCCGTGTCTTTCTTAGTACTTGCAAAGAGAACAAAGGCATCTACTCAGCCATGCGTCTGGACAAACTCTTCAACATATCCTCCTTCCTGAACTCTACAGTGGTCAGTAAACTCAAAACACAACATTAAAACATTCCTTCATATGCAGTGACTAACCAAGTATCTTTCAAATCAAATCAAGTTTTATTTATATAGCACATTTATAAACGATGTTTGGTCGAGCCAAAGTGCTGTACATAAAATAAAAATAGCCTACAGTAGAGACACTTTACAGCAAATACAACAGCACAGATTGTTCAGAATATCAGTATGAGAAAAACGACACTCTCTATCCTTAGACCCTCACATCGTACAAGGAAAAACTTCCAGAGAAAACCCACAGTTTAAAGGGAACATGGGAGAAACCTCAGGGAGAGCAACAGAGGAGGGATCCCTCTCCCAGGACGGACAGACGTGCAATAGATGCCGTGTGTAAATCCAAGAGATAATACATTTTACAGCATATAGACCGAATGTTAGGAAATGCATGTGTCTGTAATAAGAAGATGAATCCACGAGGATGTCAGCTACAATCCTGTGGAAGCCATCAGGGAAGCAGCATGACGAGACCCAAGGCAGGACCGCAGAGACAGGTTCAGCCACGACCCGAAGTCCACGACTTAATCCAGAACTCAGGATAGAGGATCCAAGACACAGGACTACAGCAAGAGGATCAGCCTCGACTCCGGATCCCGGCGTAGATATAGATACAAAACAAGAAAAAAGATTTGGCTGGGTTAATCGGAACAAGAGAATACACAGACACAGACAGAGAGGGAAAAGGTCATTGGATAAAAGTTATTCTTGATAACCCTCTAGATCTTTATAATACAAGTATAAGATTACGGATGTATTTGCAAGTTACAAACGATTCAACAAGTTCTGGTGTCACTTATTTGGCAAATGTACAAACAAGATACTTCTCAATACATGTATGTTTTATCAGCACTCGGTAAAGGCCCTGTCACACTGTCCCGAAATTGACACCCGATGGACACACGAATATGGAATTGTGAATTTCGCACGAAGATGGCCCCGAACCACACACGAAGGCAACATTTACATTACATTTAAGACATACAACTGCAATGAAAGTACCAAAAACAATTATGTTACAGTACTATGATACTGTACTGATATCTTCAGACTTTGTTCTTTACTTTATCCGTCGTTATATGTAGAAAATATTACGTTTTCTCCGTAATGTTGTTTCCATAACAACAACAACTTCCTGTCAACTGTCCTTCAAAATAATATATTATATCCTTTTTAGTTTCACAGAACACAAATTGGGTTATTTACATAATATATTTACATGATTTTGTTGTGCAATAAAGCAACCCGATGGACACACGATAAAGGAAATGTTCAAATTCGGCTGTGATCGTAGCAACATCGGGCCATTCGTGAGGGCATCTTAAGCCTTCGTATGACCGCCGGTGGAGTTTCTCAGGCTCCGGCAGCAACTTCGTGAGCGGTGGCAAAATCTTTGGCATGCCAAAAAATTGCCGAAGGACCTTGCGAAGGTTCATTTTCGTGTTGAATTCGTGTGTCAATTGTGCCCTTCGTAAGGCCATCGTGAGGGCATCGTGTTATCATCGGTGCCATCGGGCATTCGCCCCGATCAGAGTGAGGGTGAATGCACCGATGATAACACGAAGATGACACGATTTGACAAGATGTCCTCACGAGTGCCTTACGAAGTTGCCGCTCACGAAGTTGCTGCCGGAGCCTGAGAAACTCCACCGGCGGTCATACGATGGCTTAAGATGCCCTCACGAATGTCCCGATGTTGCTACGATCACAGCCGAATTTGAACATTTCCTTTATCGTGTGTCCATCGGGTGTCAATTTCGGGACAGTGTGACAGGGCCTTAAGGGAGTTCTATATTGTACTGTACAGGTAGTTTTGATTTATCTGAATCTATGTTGGTGTTGTAAGGTATACTATACTCTGCAACTTCATGTAACAAAAGTATTGGCAGAATATACAATAAAGAAGGCATTGTACTACATTCTCAAACCAAAGGTAGAATTAAGCAATTTGAACATGTAGCTAACAGTGATGTAGTGTCCAGAAATCTTCATCCTTGGCTGCAGGATCTAATTAGCATTACCTAATGATTTCTTTGCTGCCAAAACAAAGTCTGTGCTGACGGCCGATAGCTTTGACATGCCTCAGCCCTTATCTCAGTGTACGCCTGAGACATTACACTGATGTATGTTTCTATTTCTTTTTGGCTGCGAGCCAGCAACTCCTGCCTGCCTGAGACATTCAGTACTTTCCTGTCAGTTGGCAAAACTGTCTTGGCTTGTCCAAAACAACAGCTGGCACTCTTTCTGCATATTGGTCATTTATCTTCATTAAATGCCGGCACGATGCAAGTTTCCCAAAGTGTGTCATCCTACATGATAGGATTTGGGAAACAAAAAAAGACTATACAGTAGGTCAGTTATTTAATTGTTTGTGCAAAAGCTATAGTGAAAAATCCTATGAAATATTGAGCTCCCATTTACCCATAATGAACAGTCGCAACATGCTTAAAACATTATTGGATCTTTGAAATTATTTCATCTTTTCAGATATTGAATAGCTGTCTATTCCACATTAAAATATCCCCTTCTTTTCAATCTGAGCAACAACATACATTACATTCCCATGGTGAAACATGGTTCTCAATCAAGTCACTGTGATTATAGAGATATTGGTCTAATTCTTTAATGGGGGTTGAGATGTGAATAAAGTTGTTCTTCAGCTTGATGGTACTGTAGTGTCATTATCATAACATGTTAATCAGACCTTCTTAGTATCATATCCTCTTGGTCTTTGAGAGAGACCTTTTGACTTCACCATAATGCATACCAGATGATATGCTCACCTGTTGTCAATACATGTTGTCCCATAATAACTAAACGTACCATATTAACATTTCTAACATTATTAACAGTAATCGTCAAACAGTGCTTACCAGACATTTAGAAATAGCCAAAGTGTTGGTAGGGTAGTCCTCCATTCATTCAAACCTTTATTTAACCAGGTGGTCCCATTGAGATCATCGATCTCTTTTTCAAGGGAGACCTTTCCAACATGGCAGCAACTAGGTTACAACATGAACATAAAACAACAGATAACACAAAAGGACTTCGTATTTACAGGGCTACATTTACATACCTAAAGACATTGACAAGTACCAACAGTATCAAGTATCACTGCACCTATCTGAGCTTTAAAAACAGGCAGTGGAACCAATTTGCTCAGTTTCAAATATTTTTCAAGACTGTTCCAAGCAAGAGGAGCTGCGCACATAAAAGCTTCCGTCCCTAAGTCAGTCCTTGCACTTGGCACATGTAACAAGACCACATCATGTGATCTCAGGCAATAGCTACCTGCAACTCTCTGTGTGATCAGAGAGCAGATGTAAGATGGGAGTTTACCCAACATGGCTTTATACTGTAGATGAACATGTACCAATGACTGAGCCTCCGTACAGTAAGTGAAGGCAAATCAGGGTACAGTGATGAGTAAGTGCTTTACAGTTTGTAACAAATCTCAGTGCACTGTGATAGGCATCATCTAACTTGATAATGAGCAGGTGCATTCATATAAAGCAGATCACCATAGTCCAGCACAGGTAAAAAGGTTACAGAGACTCAGAGGTTGCGCTAGACTTTTTCACTGCCCGTCATTTTGACGGACAGGATCGTAACATTTCCGTCAAAATTCAGTATTACCCGTCGGCCTTTACAGAGAGAGAGAGAACTGTCAACGGGGGGGGGGGGGGAAAGAGCACAGTCGTGAACCGTTTGCGCCGTGTTATGCATGCCCACTGCACCTCGCGGGAGTGCGCACAGCGTAAAGCCAAAACTCACAGACATTTCAATGATTTGTAGGGCAAAGTTGGGTTTGGAAACGGTATCATTTCCTTTTTGGCAGGCATGCTTAACACCGGAGCCTCGCTGCAGGGAAACTTTGGCGCTGTTCCGAGTTTGTTCTAATCCGTCAAAATGACAGACTGCTTTCAGATTTTTCCGTCATTGTTAAAAAAAATCCGTCATAGACGGAAAATATTCGGTTAACGCGACCTCTGCAGAGACTAGCCTTTTCCTGGCCTCAAGTGAGAAACAGGACTTGTTTCTGAAAAAGAAACCTAGCTTCAACCTCAGCTTTTTAAGCAGATTATCGACCTGAAATTTAAAAGAGAGGCAATCGTCAAGCCAGATACCAAGGTATTTATAACAGTCAACCACTTCAAGTACTTGTCCTTGCGTAGTAACAATATCCAAAGTGGTCTCTGGTGTCTTTTTAGCTTTTGAAAATAGTATACAGTACATATGCCGGGCCTGTAAGTGGCGCTGTACTTCCGCCACAAAATACACCAAAAGCAGCCAATAAGCCCCCCGAGCATGGTTGCCATGGTTGCCTGGTTGCCCTTCTGGTTATTCTCCGCGGTGGATTTAGCAACATGTAGTTCATGTGGTTCTCCATGTCCACTTGTTGCTGATGGTTGTGGTAGAGGAGCTGTAGATTTTGCACTAACATCTGTATCATGGTCAGTAGCGTCTGGAGCACGAACGCAACCCCGTGATCCGCCATTGTTGTTGTTGTTGTTGTTGGCGAAAGGCATCAGCAATGATGCGCGGGTGAGCAGGAGAGGTGGGGAGAGGCGGGGCTATGATCGTATAGGGCGTACACACGGAGCCGCAAGCCTTTTTTCCCCAGACCTACCCACCGTTATCAAAGTGTATCGTTTGAGGGCTCCGTTTCCGCGGCTCTGTGTCGGCCTCGTGTGGACGAACCGTCTATACGATAAAGTACCCGTTTCGTCTCCGTGTGGACGGGGCCTAAGGTTGTTCTGACTTTACTACCCTTTGTGTAGCTTAATCTGCCAATTAAATTGATTAACTGATAACACATTTAAATGAATTCCATCTTTTAAAGAAAAAAATAACTCAGTACAATGACTATTCTGAGAAATCCAAACCATTGTCAGCCTTGGGGTAAACTCCTGTTTCGGCATTTAAGGGTAAAGTTAAGAGAAACATTTTAGGAAACAAACATCTCCATTGCCAACATCTTTGTTGTGTTCTCTTCAAAGTGCCATAAAAAAGCTTGAAATTACATATTACTTTTCAAGCCTTTTGGAAAATCATATTTTTCACCATGGATCTCTTTATGGTTATGGCTTTCATAAACGACAATACAATAAACCCTTATTGGCCCATAAGGTCATTGTAGAAATGTTGTTTCATGTCTGCCCAGGAATAGATGTCGTCTCTTGGTTGAATAACTTGGTTGGGTAAGAAATGTAAGAAATGCATTCCAATTTGTTCATTCATTTAGCAACTTTCAACAAAAGTGCTTTATGCATTAATAAGGACTGCAATTAAAGGTGGGGTAGGTAATTTCGGAGAAACCAGCTCGAGTGCGCTAGAATTTGAAAATACATAGCCGGAAAAAATCTGCCACTTCCTCCTCCAACACACACGAACGCGCATATGACCAATGAGGGCACGAGATAAGTTTGTGCACAGATGGAAGGCTGTCAAAGCACTTAAGATATTCATTGCTATCGGGATGTTAAGAGCATTCCATGGAATATAACAAGTGTATCTCGAGACGGTTTCTCAAACTTACCTACCCCACCTTTAAGAGTTACAAGAATGATTTGTCCACACAAACAACCTCAAGAAACGTAATTCTGGTATACTATCCAAACCACATCTTTAAAATAGTTTGTCACCCTAGTACTAACGTTGTTGCTTAGCATTTTTGTAGGCCTATCATTATGTTAATAATTTGTATGTATTCACCCTGTTCAAAGACTAAAACTGTGACGTACATAGAAACCTTGGTGAGAGATGTGAGATGTTAAGACTATTTGAGAATCCAAAATGTAAAATAACATAATCAAGCCGTAGTGTTTTACATGCAGTCTCTGTTAAAACGGTTCCTTTTTGTTCACAGTTCACTAAGGATGTGGTGAGTCAGCTGGAGAGCGTTAAGATCGACCTGAGGGAAATAATCCTGTTGGAGGCCGAGGGGAAGCAGAACCTCGTGGATTTCTCTGACGCAGGGCTGTCAGAAATCAACTATGCAGACTACCTGGAAGAGGTGACACATAATGCATAACGTAACCATTAGGGGTGCACGATTCGATTCGATTTCTTGGGGTCACGATTTGATTCACAATCGATTCGTGATTCAAAATAGCTCAGGAGTCTGCCCTGTGAGGCATGAAGAGCGGACAGAGTGAAGAGGATTTCCTGGTGTGTTTCCCTTGATGCTGCATAAAGTCTAAGTGCCATGTTAGCGGGACATTACGGAGCTCACGGCATAGAAAAAATGGAAAACAGCGTAGCGGCAAAACTGAAAAATGTGAATCGATTCTTGGAATTTCTGAATCGATTCTGAATCGGAAAAGAGATAGAATCGCGATTCGTATGTGAATCGATTTTTTTACGCACCCCTAATAACCGTTAACTGCTACAATTGCCATGCTTACATTTTGGATTCTTATTATGAACTTTTTGCTACTTTGTAATCGAACTGCTGCACCACAATTTCTCTTAGGAGAAATAAAGATTTATCTAATTCAAAAACGTAATAAGTATAATCCCAGACAGATCACACTTAAACTGTGCATGATTCAAAATCAAATACAGAACAAATGAACTGAAGACAGAAAAATACATTCACATAATAACTATATATGATCTGTTTGGAAATTACAAAGTAAAAGTCAAATATAAAATGTAAGAAATATTCTGAAACGTTACTTTAGTAAAAGAAGCAATATACCACATTGTGAAAAGTAGTAGAATATTTGTTCACTGATGCCTTTGTGTAATTAGCAAGTTTAAGTGAAATATAAAAAGAACATTGTCCCTGTGATATGCAGTGGAGTAAAAGCATAAAGAAGCATTAAATGAAGATATTCAAGTAAAGTAAAAGTACCTCAAATTGTAAGTACTAAGAGTAAATGTACTTCCATTCTACCACTATAGGCTCTGACGTCAATTCATTAGTGATATCTCTTTATACATACCAGTTCAATGAAAGACCAGGGTAAATATTGATAACAGATTGTTCTATACATATACTATAATGGTATATGTACTTTAAAGGACTGTTACCAGAAATAGCATGGTTCCTAAGGGTCTGTTAAACCCCCCCCCCCTCCCTGGCTGTCAGTTAACATACAGCAGGCAGCCATGCTTTACCCAATAGGAGCTGTGACCTGACACAGTACACTGGGTTCTGTTGAGCATCACTGAAGCCTGATTATCCAAAAGTATTCCTGCCAAGGCAGAGAGAGCGTAGGAACAAGCCGGGACTCGGCACTCCCGTCTTCTTCGACACTACCTGTCAGGTTCACTCGCATGTATTTCTTCTGAGAGCAAAGAAGAGGTTGAAGGACTCCATTCAAGTGCACCACCTGTCCTGATTCACAACTCACTCTCAACAGTCAGGAGGAGAGGTTTGAGGTTCTTAAACTTAGATAATAATAGTGTATTATGAGAGCAACTCTAGTAGAAATATATTACAGAGAGGATCCTTACAATTATGCAAGTTTCCAAAACCCTTGTCTTGGCCATTTCCTGCAATATCTATAGAACATTTAATCTAAATAATCTTTTACTTTTTGGCAAATTAATTACAATTGAGTGTAGGGAGGTTAAAAAAAAAGAGATTGTGTATTATTCAGATGATCAATAGTTCCTTTCTTTTTTTAAATATTGTGGTTTTAATCACAAACTGGTACATAGAGACAACATTTCTCTGCTGCTAAACACACTGAGTTGATCTTGTGCATAATGTAGTGATAGCACCATGTTGGCTTTTTATTTAATATTTAGCCACTACTATGTTTTCATTCCTTCTAGTTATTTGTACCTCCTGAGTACATGGATTGCCTCTGAGTTTAATAAGTGTTTAGTGCTTAAGCATTTGCTTCCAAAGGAAATACTGGAGCAGTGAAGTGGTTTTAAAATTCAACGTTGCCCTATTGATGTGTGTTTTTACTACAGCAGCTCAGGCTAATTATGTCTCAAGTTAACAGTCATTCCAAGGAGCAGTGGGATTTTTGAAATGTAAAAGCAACAAAATGAAGTCATTTTTTAAAAGTGTTTTATTACAGTATGCAGCTAATAATGGATGATATCTCCAAGTGTTTTGCCCTCCAAAATTACCATTGAAAGAAGATTATTTATTCCTCTCTTTATACCCGCGTACCTTCAGGTCAACAAAGGAGTTACAGTGATGGACCTGCTCACATATGCCAGAGAGCTGGAGGCGCAGACAGACCTCATGGTAAGAACACCTTGGTGCTTTTATACTTTACATTACATTTAGCTGACACTTTTAAGGCTAACATACACACATGTTTCTTTAGAGATACATCATTAGATTAACTTGGTTCTCCGCCTGTGTGTGTGTTTCAGCCCAGAGGCGGTCTGCAGAGCTCTCTGAAAGGTCACATCGGCACTCTGCGGCAGATCCACGCTCAACAGGTCATCCCCATGGAGCAGGCCATGGTAATGCCTCATTATTATTTTTCTACTGAAATCGCTAAAAAACGTTGCAAAAACAGCAGCTTTTATTGTATTTTCCATCTAAATATGTGGCTTAAATCAGTTGTTTTACGACGGGGAAACAATGAACTGGCACGATATCAGGGTAGAAAATATTTGCTAACCTAGAAGTTTTCTCGTTAGAATGTTGTCGAGTTTGGCAGTCAGTGTTGAAGAGGAATGGACCACATTTCTTAACCACAGTGGCCTTAAAAGACCAGAGAGCAATGCAATGCCGCGGGGCATGTTGTGTGCGACTGAGGGATGCTTTTTCTTGTCAAAAATGTACAGCTCTTGTTCTACTATTGCTGTGAGGGCAAGTGCTGTACGTTCTTAACAATTCTTAGCTTGGAGGGTTGCTCGGGGACACACTGGGAAAAGAAAAAATATGTTTTATTAATTGCCAACTCCTGCCCAACAGATTTGAAATCAAAAATAGAATTTAAATAATATTGATAATAATATAAATATATCTATATAAAAACTAGATCAAATGACTATTGTTTATATAAAAATGATAGCGACAAAGTCAGAGAATTGCTTGGAGGGAGCATTTTAATGTCTTTGAGCTCATTGCTTTGGTGTTAGGGCCCGTAACGTTACAATACAGCAAAGCCTTATTATAATTGTAATTATAGCTCTGTATACATATATCAAATAAAGATGTGCGTGTGTAGGACAAAGTTCATAGAATAAAAAGGTAGAAAACAGTATTGCATGTACGTAATGTAACAGTCCAGGCTTAACAGCAGCAGTATTATGATAGTACGGCGAGATGGTGGGGGCCAAAAACAGAGCAACAAGAGAGTGAACTTGGACTAATATACATTCATCAGGTGGCCAGAAACACAACTCTAAATGATCGCTAATGTTGAATGTGTGTAAATTAGCAGCTAAACATTTTACAAAGTGATGTGTTCACAGCTTGTTTCACTGCCAAAAGCTGCCCCAAAAATTCATTCAAGTAGTCGTAAAGAAACTCGACTTCAGAATGCAGTCAGAGGCCGTTTCTCAATGTCGAGTATACCTGCTGCAGAGCCACTATTTCAAGTATACTACGTCATTGAGTGGCGCCGAAGGACTGTTTAAATGCCCAGCATTCGGTGCCACTCGATGACGTAGTATACTTGAAATAGTGGCTCTGCAGCAGGTTTACTCGACATTGAGAAACGGCCAGTCATTGATGTGTTATCCATGGGCTAATGCTAATTCAAGGGAATGATTACATATTGGACAAACATATTCATATCATCAAACGTGGAGTGTTTTGACCCTCAGGCCACGTTCAATCATCCCATGTTGTGAAAAACACATTAAATATCATTTGTAATTTTCCCTGTCAATACTATAATATTGAATAACTTCAGGGTTTTACAGCTACTGGACATTCAAACAGTGACGCGCTTCAACACGACTTTTACAACAGATTCTTGTGTTTTTCTTTTTCCACTTTCCACTTCAAGAAATATGTTAGAGCGAGGGTAAGCTGAAATGTGTCCATACCATGTATTTAGTGTCCCCATTCATTATATGGATCATTTAGAGATATTGTATCTCACAGATCTGAGAAATCTCATTCTGAGTGGTATTGTGGGATATTGTGTGTGCTTGTGTTTGTATATACATAAACATATCCTAATCAATGGTGTTAATCATGGTTTTGTACCAAAATATTCAGTGATATCCACTTTAAGAAAAGAAATGCTAGTTTAATCCAGTTATTCATTTGGTATAAAAACTCAGTTCTCCATCATTTCTGTGAAAATCAAGAAAATATTCATAATTTCTTTCTTTGCAATGTGGATATTTAATTTTGGAACAAAAATCTTCAGCATGCTTGTTATAAAAGCAGAATATTGTTCATCAAGTGTTGTTATTACCTGGTCTCCCTTTGTGTTTCTCTGGTGTAAATGGCCCCTAAGTGTTTCCCCCGACTTTTCAGGTTTCTGGTGTTAAATTGTTTCTTTGTCTTTTTAAAGAGCGCATTGAACCAGAGTATGAGGTTCCTGGAGAGAACAGCTTCAGACCTGCCAGTAAGCCAACAAGCTCTTCAGTATAAATCAGAAATACAGGCTTAAATTAAAGTCAAAACTGATTAAATCTGTAATTTCTTCCCTGCAGAACAAAGTTTTAGCAGTTCTGGAGGCGATTGAAGCGGCCCAGTACCTCATCTCCCAGAATGCAACACAATTAATCAATCAGGTAACGCATGGATACCTTACTTTGTTCATATGTTCTGTTGATCTGCACCTCACATTTTGTCTTGATCTATTACAGGAAACGGGAAAATACACAGCCACCATTGTTGGATACTTCAATCAATACATAGAGTGGGTCAAAACCTCAGTAAGTGTTTGCGTGTTGATTTGTTAGCTTTATTTGCACATTTTGAAAACACAAAAAGGTCATGAAGAGTAAAATTAAATCTAAGAAAAGTCAAATACATGTGCAGGTGAGGTAGAAACCCATTATAGGTTTATCAAAAACATATTTAAGTATACAAAATAAACGTATCTTAGGTGTATACTTGAAGAATTACATTATTATATGACTTAGTCAAAACCGAACAGTGTTAGTACACAGAGAGAAATGCACTTTGCATGGTACATGAGTCAATTCAGAGAAGACCAATATAACAATTACAACCTCTATAAATGGAGGAATTTGCTTTGTGGCTCATTCGTTTTGGCCGTAGTTAGGAATTCACAACAAAGTAAAAAAGCAAGAGGAAAGACACGTTTGAAGCCTGGAGTATTTCCTTAGAGCTGTCAATAGGACATTTTTATTTCAATCACAATGTTTTTGTAGTTTTGTGAGAACACTTAAAGTACAAGGACCTACTCGGACCTATTGTGCAATGAGAAGCTAGACTTTCCGTAAGTACTGAATGGCACCAAGAGAGGATTTGATCTTTTGAAGCTGCAAACAGAATTAGACAGTCTGAGTCTGATGTGTTTGTGTTGACTGATTATATCTCTCTCCCTGCAGCTGGCCTTAGAGGTCGCACCGTGCAAGCCTTTCAGCAACATGCTGGACACGGCGGAGATCATTACTTGCAGTTTTGTGGTCGACTCCATGGTAATAATATCGGGGAGAAAGAACCATTTAAATGTGATGTTTAAAGAGGTCAGGGTGGTGCACCATAACTCTTTTGTGTATCCTACATTTAACATCAGGTAGATCAAAAATATGCAAAGTTGGCAAAAGTGTGAATTTACATCTGTATTTGAAAACAGTTTGTTTGAAGCTAACAATTTAATTGATCGTGCATCCTTCTGGAGATATGTTCTTTATGCACTGAAACTTCATCTAACATGTAGGCCTAATATAGCATCAATACATATGACTATTTTGTCAAAACAAACTTCTGAAACCTAAAAATATTGAATTTAAATCATCACGAACGACAAAGAAAGAAGCAAATCCTGTTCTTATAACTAGGGGAAATTGGGCATAATTGCTGGGTAAATGACTTTGATTGATTTATAACTTATCACAATTAAATTCCTGGACTATTGATTGATTGAAAAGTGTATTAACAGCTTATTGGGTACAGTACAGTACAGCTCAAAACATACAATTGTTAAGGGGATGCAGACCAGAGAAAGACTTTCGTCTTGTTTACATCAGGGTCCCCCATTTCTAATTCATCATATCATTTAAGACATATAAGACATTGACATACAGATGGCTTATTTACAATTTACATACAGGTGGTTTTTTACATACAGATTGCTTATTTACAATTTTCATTTTAGATTTCGTTCTAATACATCCTAACCGGACATTTAAGACATACCAAGTCTACAGATATACAGTTAGTAACAGAGTCTAAAATGCGAGTATATACATACTATTGGTTTGGTTGTTTCTCCACAGAACACCTTCTGGATGGGCCTGGCTGCAGCGCTCTCTTCCTGCTGCCCAGCATCCTCCTCGCTGTGAAACTAGCAAAGTTCTACCGCAGGATGGACACAGAGGACGTTTACGACGAGTGAGTAGGAATATGTGTTACTCCTTTACAGCTGCATACATTTATTTTATAGTTTAATCTGCAAAAGATGAATCTCGTTAAGACAGTGTTAGTCTTTACAATTGATATTATTGAATATGCTGTGGATGGTTCTTTCTCTCCAGCTTCTTATGTTCTTCCCGCCTTCTGCAAGTTATATCTAGCTAAGCTGCAGAAAGAGGAATTTTACTTTTAAGTGTGTAGTTGTATAATAGACGCACTATTCTTAATCATTTGAATATCATTTGAACTTCAATTGATTCACGTTTTTAAATCTACACTTCTTCACACTCTAGACACTTTTGAGTTTAGGATTCAGTGACTTCTATAATGTGTTTTCGTTGATGTATTTCCTTCTGCCTTTTCTCCCGTTTGTAGTTCCTCTGTTTCTGGGACTTGGCATTTTACTTTGTGATAACCATTTCTACGATTTCCATATCTTTTTTTTTATTGTTTCATCCCTCTCTGTCAAGCACTTGGCACTTTACAAAGAAACATTGACACATTTGTCAATTTACATTTCTTCTTCGTGCACCTTCTGTTCTCTCGTTTAATCCCAGCTTCACACAAACATCACGCAATGTCTCCATCAGTTGTCATGTGATCTGTGCCGGGTCACATGTCTGTGGTGCATTTCCATCGCTCAACATTTCAATCAAATGTTTATGTTGTTTTTTTGTGTATCTTTATAGCATTGAGACAATGCCCATGAAAACGTAAGACTTTTAAACCACCTCCCTCTCCTTTTCAACTTCTCTCACTCTGTGCTTTTCTCCGGATCTTGTAAATAGACTTGTTTACTAAATTCTTGGTGCTGGTTTTACGTTTTTAAGCTTGAAATTGCTCTTATGGGTGGATGGTGTGGCTTCTTGTCGTGTGCTACCTTTGAGAAGTGCCCCTTACCTTTTAAAGAAGGGCTCTTGCAATCATTACCTTACAAGTCCACCTGTTTTTGTAAGTTGTAGTGTAAATAAAACACTATAGTTTATACTCCAAAAAATATTTATCTCTTAACATTCTTGAAAAGTTTGATGACTTGGAAAATAGGCATTTCTACTACAAAGCTTTGATCGGCATGTCTCTTACATTACATTTTTCATCCCTTTTTTTGTATACGACATTTTGTTTTCAGTATGGAAATTGGTAATAATGGTTATCATAGTGAGAGGTCACAAGGTATCCCAAATCCTATGATGACAAGGTAACCCTTAAAATAATCCTGTTACTGCATGCTATGGGAGGTGGAGGCATGCCTGGGGACGTGGGATTCTTCACAAGCATTATGACGGACGAGTGCATGCCTTTGAGGGAGTTGATTCATTGCACGCACACCACACACGTACGTACAACACACACACACGCGCGGTGGTCAGCTAATTGACAATAACAACAAAGCTGACAAGTAATGGTAGCTTTTATTAGAAAAACATAATATATGTAAGACGTTAAGAGTATTTTCATAAAAAAAGTACTTTACTTTACTTTCAGAATTAAATAGATTTTGTGAGGAATAAAAAATATATATTTAGACAATTTCAGAAATATGCATATTTACTTTCCTCTCTTAAGTGGATTTTTTTAACTATAGCAACAATGCGGTTACATTTTGTGGTTTGTAGTGAAATGTCATCCATGAAATGCACACATTAGGGTGAATTGTAATTACTTTAATGGTCTTTTGACTTTTAAACTCGCAAAATACTCAACACTTATTGGCTCAGGGGCGGTTCTAGGGGGGCCAGTGCCCCTCTAACACTGACCTCTGATATAACTGGCCCCCCAGTGGGCCCCCCCAGTCAAATTCGTCTAGAACCGCCACTGTATTGGCTAACACACTAAACTAAGATGGGAAAATAGTAAACGCGTTAAAACATCAGCATGTTAACATTATCATTGTGAGCATGTTAGCATATTGACATTTAGCAAATACAGTTAGAGTAACAGAGATGAATTAACAAGACAAAACATCGGGAATCATATTTGTTATCTTAAGACAGCCGGGATATGTACTCTCTGTGCCAGTCTTTATGCTAAGCTAAGCTAGCCATGTCCGTACTTAATGCAAAGCAATGAGAATAGAGGAATCTGCTGTTGTAAATTATTTACCGAGTCTTCATGGTAATATTTTTGCTACCATTACTTCTCTTCATCTTCTTTCGCTATGTTCTGCTGTGTTGTTTTCGGGGGAATCTACTAACCTACTGCATGCTCTGTATGTTCATGTGGAATGAAAAACCTTCCTGTTTCTTCTCATTCAGAGTGAGCCAAAACCCACCGAATGCACACCTGATCATTTTGTTCAGAGAGAGGCAAGCATGTCAAGCTTTGGTGTGATGCTGCAAACGCTGCTCCTTTATTAACAAAAGGTCTAACTGCATGTTGTGTATTTTCAAGTTGCATTTGGACGAGGAGACGACTGTAACAGAAGCTATAGGGAGAGAGCAAAACAGCTGGACCAAACATCTTCGCTTCAGCGTAATCTTTTAAACTCATTGAACTTGGGTTTCATTCCAAAAGCTGGAAGGCAAAAATCCAAAGAGAAAATGTTTTTGGGCAATTTTTATGGTCTTTACTTGTAAAACATTTCAAAGATATAAAATCTTAAAATGAGTACAAGATGTTGGAATGACAATTAAGAATCACTGTCCACAAATACCCCATGTATCCACAACCTCATTTGAGCTAAGGTTAAAACGGCTGCTACTGAAACACTGACACTTACTTCACCCTCCATTCATTTGTATTCCTTAATATTTGATATTAACCTGTAAAGAGACACAAGCTAAGTGGTCACATTCACACAACCGGAGTGAGTGAATAACATTTTGGAAGCCAGACTTGTAGAACCTGGTTAAATGATCCTTTCGTAAACCCTATTGATCAACAAACCCCACTAATGTAAACTTCATTGTATACTTTAAGACAACTCCCTACTCACTGCCCCTAAAGTGAGGATACAGTTCATCCATCGTGATGTTCATAAGCTGTTTTGCTCTCTGCCTCGTCAACCACTCGTTCTGCTTCTCTCGAAAGAAGAGAACCAAGCAGCGGTTGTTACGTTTTTTGATGTGGCTGTTAATGTTTTGCCGTGTGTGTTTTGGTAGCATCCCTACCTATGACACTATGAACAGGTTCCCGCGGGCCTCGGCTCCTCCGAGGCACATCGACTGGTGACAGAGAGCCGGCTCTGGCTCTGGCTCCTGAAAGGTACAGAAACCTGCGTCAGACCTCTGTTTGCACTTGTTAATGTAATTCCTTCCTTCCAATCTTTAGTCTTTCTTTTGCACAGCCATCATCTCGTCCCGCTGTTCGTCTGTCATGAACACATCATCTTTCCCTCTCCTGTTTTTAATCTTAGTTATTTTTAGTACTTATTCTAACCAAACTCTTAAACACTTCTTCACAGCTTGTTTTAGTGCTGTTCTGCTAACAGTGACTTTGCAGGAAAACCATCATGGTGAGGGTTGCCAATTTTAGAATCACTCATGAACCATTAATGCCTTTGCCTTGTTTGATGCTGGTTGAAAATACTGTATGTTTTCTTCTAAAAACTGCTTTATTATTTTACTGAACGTCAAATAGCATAATGTCAAGGTTACTCCCAAACATTTTGGAATATTTCTAATACATACATTTGAATATCTGTAAGGAAATGCATTATCCCCAGAGGACAGCAGGTGGTATAGGACTAATATAATAAAGGTTACATTTCTTCAGTTGCAAAAAGCACCACACAGTTATTTAAATTCTAACCATTAGTGAAGACTAATGACTGACTGCACTCGTATGTCTGTTATTTCACAAAACAGTCAACGCTACATTCATCTCCTGGTTAATTCAAAAGAAAATAATGTTATGCTAATTACATTACATGACTTGTTAGACGCTTTTATCCAAAGCGACTTACATACTCAATACTGTGGGCAATCCCCACAGGAGCAATTTGGGGTGAAGTGTCTTGCCCAGGGACAATGACATGCTGACTGCAGTGGGGTTTGAACCTGTGCTCCCCTGATCCGAACACCAACGCACTACCCACTGCGCCACAGCCTCCATAATAAAAAAAGAAAAATGTTCTATGAATCTAATTAATTATTTGGAAATATTTGTTTTTCTAGTGCCATCACAAACTGGAACTAAAACACACCATAGTAAGTATGTTTGACTAATTACATTTTAGAAATAAAAATAGATAAAAGGTGTTAAATCTTGCCAAAGTCATGAACAACTCTGGGACGAGGTGTTTTATTGAGAAAAAGTGATATTACCTCATAAGTTTTTAATTTACTGACATGAAGAGTTACGCAAAGCAGTAAAACGTTTGGTACACAAGTGGAGCAATGCCTGGATATATTGGTATCTTTTTGTTTACTAATCAAAACTTTCTTTTGTTCCTTCTTTTTTCAAGCCGTTTGTTTCACGAGGCCTCGGACCAGAAGAAGTTCAATCGAAGCTGGTTTCCTTGCAACAAAAGAACACACAATGTTTTTTTGTGTTATCTTTAGTGATCAACTCAACCTCCTCAATCAAGCAGGTCACAGCCTTCGGTACAGAAGCCTGCTCCCCTTCAAAGAAACTGCCTGCAGGACATCAAACGTCTCCTTAACCAATCTGAGCCAGGCTTGTTCCATGGATTTCTGCGTCTGCGTTTACATTTGTTCAGACATAAAACTGAGCTGAAGAATACATTCAGCGAGTGGACAATAACGGTGATGCCTGTCATCGTAATGTACTTGTCTGTGCTTAAGAAGACAGGGACTCAAAGGTCATCTGAAGGTCATGGCGAGCTGCTAGATGAACTTGTTCTCCTGCTCTTAGGATGGATCTATCACATTCAAAAGACGCTTATTCTAAAAAGGGGAACAGTCGTCGTATCTCTAATAATGTAATGTGCAAATTAACATGAATCCAATGTGTTTAGTTGAGAATGGCACAGAGTGTTTCATTATGAGTGAGAACTGAATGATAGAAATAAGGCGGTTAAAATAGACAAGTTGGTCCCAGGTGGATATATATTGTGATTAATATGAAAGACTTTAGCATGACTTTAAAACAAAATGTTTACAATATTACAAAACATCCAGACACCACTGCTGGTTGTGGGGATTTGCAAAAGACTGGTTGCCTTTCAGAAGTGTGTTTCATGCAGTTTTTGTTTTTAAAGATATGGTCCTTTCTTAAAGGGAAAATGAACCCACGGATGCTCTTACACTGAAAATGTCAATATTAATATCAGAAGTTTGACCAAAGAGGGATTTCCATGCTCAGATGCATTCATTCATCACAGTAGAGGGAAACATTTGCTTTTAATGTTACATGTTTATCATCTTGGGACCCCTCAGGTTTAGCTTGGGACCATTTGGTACCACACTTTTAGACAGCTGAAAAGCATACCTCCATTTAAGAAATCCTGGTTTGGGCATTAGTGAAATGAGTACCATTGATACTCAACTAATTCGGTAAAATGCACCATTAAATATAATTTAACCAACAGTGTAAGCATTGAGGTGGATTTTCCCTTTAATTCATAAAGTTAGTTTATATATATATTACAAAGTGTCAGGCTTATAGATTGTTCCCTAGCGGATGAATTGATTAACAAGCTATCATGTTGAGTTCACTAACATGACACTTGTACTGAGATGTTTCTTGCTTTCATAGTGATGATATGTTTAAAGTGGAGAAATACTTTCTCAAGCCAAATTATTTTTCTTACCATAGGTCTCAGTCTTTAGTAAATGATGTGCATATTCTATTTGTGCTTTTTAAACCCCACTGTCGCTATGGATACATTCACAGTATACTGTACGAGTGAATGTATTCAAGAGCTATTTCTTATTTTTGTATATCTTGATGATGTTGGTTGAGAAATATGCCGAACTCTTATCGATAAAACGTATTAGACAAGCCAGTCCTGTGGTCACATCCTCGCCGCAATGTTTACACATTAGATTTAGACAATCCATTCATGGGACAATTCAAATATCAGAAAACCAGAAGAATGCTTTCTGGTTTACTCGGTGGATGGTGTCGAAGCACACTGTCGAAAAGAAATATCCATCTTAACATGGAAAGCTTGAATTGTACAGGTCTAGCTAATTGTATACGCTAACCAGACAATAGCGACCTACAGTGATTACATAAGAGTACCAAATGTAAGAGTTTAAAATATAAAAAATATGATTTAAAGTTTATCCAAGGAAAGAAAAACTGTGAAAAACATGAAATTAATTCGAACAATTTAATATTTAAACTGTATTTTGGTAATATTCGTAAGACAGCTGACTAATTTAACTCATTCATTAGTTTAAATTATCAAAGGAATAAGTTTCATAATTTGGGATAAAAGTTGTGACATCACAATACTTAACATTAGGTAGCTAGTGGGTGTTTCTCAATGTCGAGGACGCTTCCTTGGTAGGACATGTCTTCCGAGTCAGGTCCTTCAGAAGCGAGGCAAGAATCCTTCCTAGCCTCGGAAAACGAAGAATGGTCGGAACAGGCTAACAGGTGTGCAGGTGTGCGTCATGAGAGGCCCTGCTTTAAATTTTCCGCCAACATTTTTGGCAATTGGTCCGTGCGCAAAGCATTGTGGGGATTTTAAGACCGCGGATACACATGTGCAGCCTCGATATTTCCCGCAACGAAGGACGCCGGCCTCTGTAGAATTCCAAGCATCCTGGTCCTTCGGCGGGACTCGATGACGTAGCATCCTTGAAATAGTGGCACATGTGTAGACTCCGCGGTCTTAAAATCCCCACAATGCTTTGCACAAGGACCAATTTCACCAAATATGTGGCGGAAAATGTAAGGCGGGGCTTCTCATATGACGCACACTTGCTCGCCTGTTCCACTCTTCGTTTTCCGAATGCCAGGAAGTATTCTTGCCTCGCTTCTGAAGCAAGTGACTCGGAAGACATGTGCTACCAAGCAAGCGTACTCGACATTGAGAAACACCCCCAGTATCTACAGCTAGAAATCTAGCTAGCTCTCTTGTTCTACATACAGTAACTTATAAACTACTGCATATACACGACTGTATACGTTAAATATTCATAAGCAGTATGCTGCATACTGTAGTCTTAATGTGAAAATCTTACTAAGATCATTCAAAATCTAAAGCATGTCTTTAGATGACAGTTTTTACTTATTTCTTTATTAAGATGGACATTTTTTAAATACCAGTGCGCTCACTTTGACAGGCCATCATTCTTGTCCGCTATAGCATCTGTATGTGACCCGTCTTGGGAGATCAATGGTGTGATTTTACTTTAAGTGCTAAAACTCGGTATTGTGTATCTGAACCTTCAGATACATCAAAGAAAGGTTTGAACAGTGATGCTCTAAAGTTAGGCACTGATGGAGCAACTGAAGAGGAACTTCTTATGTGGGGGGGACGAAGAGAGAGTGTATAAATTGTGAATAAACTTTGAAATTCAATCTATCATTGTTTTGTTTTTATTTCATTTAGTGCCTTCACAACAATGCCAAACTGGTTCTGTCAACGTAACAAGTGTGGTGTCTTGAATGGGAAGTGCGTTTTTTGGAAATAAAAAAAGAAATGCAATATTTGTGGAAAAGTACCAAAAAAAACATAGCACACTTGAATACAAGCAAGATTGGCAAACTGTAAATATTTAAGGCTACATGAATTAAAATAGTGATAAGCTATTTAAAGGGACTGTATAGTAGTCAGAGAAAGGGGTGGAAGAAGTTGATCATAAGTGGGACTCGAATGTGTATGCAAAAAATGTATCATGTAATTGTTGACGATGTATTTTAGTTAATGATTTATCAAAATGAAAAGTAAATAAAAGTAATCAATTAAATGTAATGATGTATAAAGTAAACTATTTGACAGTTTTAAAGTAGCAGGGTTTACTTAACACCTAATTAAAGACCTGAGTAAACGTACTTCTTAGTCACATTGCAGCACTGGAAAAATGAGACATCCTGCTCATAGTGTATTTTAAAACTTTAACACAATCCTGCACATTCTTCTGTGGCGCTGCCACTTCGGGCCAGAGCCCACTGGTTGCATTACTGGTCAGCTATTTTCAATAGGAGATGATTATCTTCTTCCATAGGCTTCGTTCTGAGGTTTCCTTCTGCACCAGCCAGCGTGTGGATAAACACCACCAGAAAAACCACATTCCTACTTCTAAGTAGGCTTGTATAAAACACACATAAGGAACAAACAAAAAAAACATTCAAAAACAGAAGCAGCGGTTCAGACAAAATTCTATTTTGTATGTGTTTACTTGCACATCAGTCACTGTTTTTAAAATGGTTATTTCCCAGTTTGCACAAGTTGTACATTACGGTAGAATGGTTGTTTTTGCAATTCAGAACAAGTTGTACATTTTGGTATAGGCGATGTTTGTTTTCTGAGATTCTGTACTGGTAGAGCTTTACACTAAGAGCAGGGATACAATGGCTCCTACAATAATGTGCACTATAATGGGCTCTGGAGAAAAGTACTCGCATATTAAAAAGCACAAAACCGTCTACTCTCAGGATTGTTATTGTTTTATTAATATTTGTATTGTTATTTCATAGCTTATTGTCCTATGTTAAGAGCAGCCACACAAAACAGCGCCTTACAGGAATAGATAGAAGCTGTTTTAAACTCAATAAGATAAGGTATCGCGGATACAAGCGGCCGAGATGGGTTTTCTCCGCAGGGTGGCTGGCGTCTCCCTTAGAGATAAGGTGAGAAGTTCAGTCATCAGGGAGGGACTCGGAGTTGAGCCGCTCCTCCTTCGCGTCGAAAGGAGCCAGTTGAGGTGGTTCGGGCACCTAGTTAGGATGCCACCTGGGCGCCTCCCTAGGGAGGTGTTCCAGGCACGTCCAGCTGGGAGGAGACCAAGGGGTAGACCTAGGACCAGGTGGAGGGATTATATCTCTTCGCTGGCCTGGGAGCGCCTTGGGATCCCCCAGTCAGAGCTGGTTGATGTCGCCAGGGAAAAGAAAGTTACCCCCGCGACCCGACCACGGATAAGCGGGAGAAGATGGATGGAAGATAAGAGGCATCGGATAAAGTGTGCGGTGAATATGCAGGAGAACACAAAACTCTCAGGGGGTAGGTTACAGAAGAGTAATGAGAAACACTGCTGATTCTGTATTTAGAAAAAGATGGGAGCTTAAGAATTTTATATCAGAAAAAAAAGGAAAAACTTCATCCTATAATGGTGATAACACTCCTGATGGTGAAATTCACTATGGGGCAAATAAATACACATCATTTTGAAATGCTTTTCATTGAGTATTTACATGTTTTGTGCCACTCTTATACGTGTGCATTTCAGAAGGAACCATTGTGATGTTTACCCCCCTCTTTCCAAGCTGTAAAAAACCATGCATTTTACATAAATACAGTATTGAATGGAAGACTACTTACTATGTTTACATAAGTAAATGAATGTACTGTATAGTAAGAAAAGGTTGTCATTGTTTTTGTTTGGTTTTACTGTATATCCATAAACATTAATTTACTCATGGTCGGCCTACGCTACAATTAGTTTTCACTCATGTCTCACAATGGGACCTTTCTCTCTATATGGAAATGAAAAAAGCAACGTTATACATAGCATACCCAACCGCACACACACGCTAAACCCCTGGTCTTTTACAGACATTTCTTGTTATTTCTCAATTGACAAAATGACTTTGCACGCTCCACACTGAATTTAGTCTGCCATTGTGACTTCCACACACGTTACTTTGTGGTTGTGTTTATATTTGGGAAGGAAATGATAGGGTACCCAGCATGGTTGTGAGCTAGAACTGCCTTTTAAAAACAGGAACTTGAAGGCTCGTTTACATGAGCGCACTTCCAGACATTACTTTCTAAATGAGATGTACTCAGCAGACATGGGAACATTTCTGAAAACTATACTGTGTGCAGAGAAGAAAAATGGTCTATAAGATGAAATTGACATCATTTGTTTTTCTTTATGTGGGACAGGTTGGTAATTTGATGACGTATCACCATGGTGAACACGAGCATTACTGTAAACAGTTTGTGGTCCCTGCCTCCTCCGGACAGCTGATGGAGCCTCCTCCATCTCCTCCTCCCGACAGCTGATGGAAGCCTCCTCCTCCTCCTCCAGAACAGCTGATAGAGCCTCCTCCTTCAGACAGCTGATGGAGGCCCCTCCTCCTCCTCCATACAGCTGAATAGAGCCTCCTACCTCCTAAACCTTCCTCCTCCATACATGCTGATTGGAGCCTCCTCCTCCTTCCTCCAGACAGCCTGAATGGAAGCCTCTTCCCCGCCTCCTCCAGAACAGCTGATAGAGCCTCCTCCTCTCCAGACATCGGATGGAGCCCTTCCCTCCTCGCTCCAGACAGCTGAGTGGAGGCCTCCTCATCCTCATCTCCAGATCAGCTGATGGAGCCCTCCTCCTCCTCCAGACAGCTGATGGAGCCTCCTCCTCCTCCAGACAGCTGATGGAGCCTCCTCCTCCTCCAGACAGCTGATGGAGCCCCCTCCTCCTCCTCCAGACAGCTGATGGAGCCCCCTCCTCCTCCAGACAGCTGATGGAGCCCCCTCCTCCTCCTCCAGACAGCTGATGGAGCCCCCTCCTCCTCCTCCAGACAGCTGATGGAGCCCCCTCCTCCTCCAGACAGCTGATGGAGCCCCCCTCCTCCTCCAGACAGCTGATGGAGCCTCCTCCTCCTCCAGACAGCTGATGGAGCCCCTCCTCCTCCAGACAGCTGATGGAGTCCTCCTCCTCCAGACAGCTGATGGAGCCTCCTCCTCCTCCAGACAGCTGATGGAGCCCTCCTCCTCCTCCAGACAGCTGATGGAGCCTCCTCCTCCTCCAGACAACTGATGGAGCCTCCTCCTCCTCCAGAGCTGATGGCGCCTCCTCCTCCTCCAGACAGCTGATGGAGCCCCCTCCTCCTCCTCCAGACAGCTGATGGAGCCTCCTCCCCCTCCAGACAGCTGATGGAGCCTCCTCCTCCTCCAGACAGCTGATGGAGCCTCCCTCCTCCTCCAGACAGCTGCTGGAGCCTCCTCCTCCTCCAGAGCTGATGGAGCCTCCTCCTCCTCCTCCAGACAGCTGATGGAGCCCCCTCCTCCTCCTCCAGACAGCTGATGGAGCCTCCTCCTCCTCCAGACAGCTGATGGAGCCTCCTCCTCCTCCTCCAGACAGCTGATGGAGCCTCCTCCTCCTCCTCCAGACAGCTGATGGAGCCTCCTCCTCCAGACAGCTGATGGAGCCTCCTCCTCCTCCTCCAGACAGCTGATGGAGCCCGCCTCCCTCCTCCTCCAGACAGCTGATGGAGCCTCCTCCTCCTCCTCCAGACAGCTGATAGAGCCTCCTCCTCCTCCAGACAGCTGATGGAGCCCCCTCCTCCTCCAGAGAGCTGATGGAGCCTCCTCCTCCTCCAGACAGCTGATGGAGCCCCTCCTCCTCCAGAGAGCTGATGGAGCCTCCTCCTCCCTCCAGACAGCTGATGGAGCCCCTCCTCCTCCAGAGAGCTGATGGAGCCTCCTCCTCCTCCAGACAGCTGATGGAGCCCCCTCCTCCTCCAGAGAGCTGATGGAGCCTCCTCCTCCTCCAGACAGCTGATGGAGCCTCCTCCTCCTCCAGACAGCTGATGGAGCCTCCTCCTCCTCCAGAGAGCTGATGGAGCCTCCTCCTCCTCCAGAGAGCTGATGGAGCCTCCTCCTCCTCCAGAGAGCTGATGGAGCCTCCTCCTCCTCCTCCAGACAGCTGATGGAGCCTCCTCCTCCTCCAGACAGCTGATGGAGCCTCCTCCTCTTCCCATATATGTTTTGTTTAGTCCACTTTTTTTCGCAACATGAATTCCTTGCTCGGCCAATAAATAGCAGGAGGGACTGTCAGCTCGAGCAGTCAATCTCTCCTCCTCTTACACTCCGCATCAGTCTCACACCATGTGGACCCAGGTCAGCGCTCTGCTGCTCCCGCTCGCCTGCTGCCTTTGGTCAGCCGAGGCTCAGACTGCGAACAGACAAAGCATCTGGAACAATCCCATTCAATTCAACACCAAGGCCAAGGACCAGTGCACCATGACCATCACGGGTCAGGGGGATTACACACGGCTGAGGCTGATGTGCCAGAGCCGGCAGCGCTCCTACTGGTGCGAGTACATTGGACAGCCTCACACCTGCGGCAGCTACAACAAGAACCCTCGCCACTACTTCGTGCAGATGATGTGGGGCCTCAGAAAACTGCACAACGCCTGCCTGGGGCCGAGGCAGATCAAACCCCACATGTGCAGGAAGGCAGGCGATGAGTCTCAAATGGTCTTCTCAACCGGTTCCTTCTCCAGAACATCGCCGGAGGCTCCAACGAGGGCAAAACCAGCCGCACAGCCTGCCAGACCTCAACCTCAACCTCAACCAATAAGACCCGATTCTGCAAGGCAACCCAAAGCAAAGCCCACAGCGAGAACCGATTCACAACCTCTGACACCACCTGTGGAGAGCAACGCTAAGAGGCTGGCTCAGCAGTACTGCTGGAGGTCGCTTCGAGGCATCTGCTCCTACTTTATTGGCTTGGTTCGGAAAAACTGAGGAAGGTAAGCAGCATTAGTCCGGGTCCCTTCAATAACCCAAACTTATATGTTGTTTTTTGACTAAAGAGAGAGTACACTACTGATCCAAATAATGTACAACTGAAAGCATCAAATGATTGCAATTTTATATGCATTTCTCCCCTCTGTTACATTCACAGATTTACAATGAAGATAACTTCAACTGTCTGATTATACCAGCCATCATTGGAGGGAAAACCCGAGCAGCAGTCTGGTTGAAATTGTGGAAGAACTGTAGCGCCCTCTCCAGAGCAAGAGACGGTACTGCTGTTGTTTATGGTTATATATGTTAAGTATGAAATGTAAAGTTTGACTTGTGAGAAGGTTCCTCCTGCTGCAAAAACATTCTCAACAACACATTTGCCTTACTGGTTTCACTCATTCGTTTGTAAGCCGGTTACCTACGTATAATCTACGTGCATCACTTAATATTATATTGTTGGGAAAGAGCAGAGGTCTGATAAGATAGTGATTTATGTACTGTTGTATTTGAGGGAATATATAATGAATGTGAAAATATCTTTATTAAATAAATAAATATTATGATCCATTATTCTGTGTTGATCAACTTTTTTTCTTGCTTATTTTGATGAAAAATGTGTGAGATTTGATTTCAAAAGAGTGTCAATATTGAAAACAGCTGCTATACACTGTATGTGATATATATATCATAATGTCTTAAAGGTCCCATGTCATGGCCATTTCTACTGATCATAATTCCATTGTTGAGGTCGACTAGAATACATTTATATTGTGTAATTTTCTAAACTCACATTGGTTTCTCACAGCATCTCTGTATAGTATGTGCATTCTCTCTGTCCTAAACGGCTTGTTGGAGCTAACCAGAAAAGCATGACATGGGACCTTTAAAATATCTTCATCCTCATGCAACACCACATTTGACCATTAGATGTCACCGTTGCTTCAGTTAAACTGATCACTAAATTCAATCAGTGATTTTCTCCTACAGAAAACATCTGGTTCTTTCAAGATATTTCCAGTATTCATCTTTAGTAAACTGTTCTAACAGATGGCGGAGTTACAGTTTGAAACGACTCAAGAGTTCATTTGCTTGCCTTAAAAGTGAAGTTATCGTAAAAGCAGCTGGGACTTCTTAAAGCAGGCAGCACAATCTACAAAAACAGATCATTTTAAGTCTTGAAATCTCACATAACGCTGGTAGGTGTCTCCAAAAGTTGTAAGTCTTGAATGTGCTCGATGAAGAACGAAGACAGACAGAAATTAGATGTCATTAAACAGTGAGGACATGTAGTCTACTCTGACACAGATTGGTTGCAAAGCAGGATCTGATTTGGAGCTTCTTTTAAAGTGAACAATTTCCATTATTTGATTAAATCAACATGTTACAAAATCTGCATAAGAAGCTTTGATAATGGTTTGGGGTAACACAGTCAAGCTTTATCAGAATAGCAGGATATCTCTAAAGGACCACCCTTTCATTAGATGACTGAACTCAAGCCGTCCAATCATGCATAGTGTGTGAAGGGGAGGGCTGATTCCGCAGCAGTGTACTGTGGCTGCAGGTACATTAAGCAGAGGAGACTCTCAGCTCTCAGGTGTTGGAACTTTAAACTCAAGTTTACTCTGAAAACTTCAGGTAAGTTTAGCCATCAGTTTTTATCTGAGCTCACTCTGTAATGATCCCTGATTACTAATCTCTTTGGAATTAGTATAGTATTAGGATTTATAGTGCGTGCTTCTTCTTATAACACGACGGTGATTTAAAATGCTCTATATGCTACAATACAAATCCATGTCTCATTATAATCACTATAAGCGGTGTGTTGGTGCACTAAGAGTAGTTGTAGTATTGACTTTCTAAACAATCACTAAATTCAAGTCACATGTTGTTCAGATTGTTTCATCCTAAAAATCAAGGATTCAATCTCTTTATTCATTTATATTTCTTGCACTGATACTTTTCATTATTATTCAAATGTATTCCTTAATAGCTTATTTTTGTTTTCCATTTTATTTGTATCCAAAATCCAATATGAGACTTATATTGCTTCATGTTTTTATTATGTCTTTCCTAATGCATTTCATCGTCTTAAATTGCCTAAAAATATGCTATTCTCGAACAAAACTTAGGAGGGAAACCTGCTTATTTCCGCGTAGCACAAGGGTCTAATAGAGGGTTATAAAGATTATTATTAACAAAGGGAAAGTAAGGGATTGTGGTCGTATCTAAATCCTAATTGATCCTCTTGCAGGACTGTGTGTGCTGCTTTCATGGCTCTCCTCACCAATGTCGCCATCCTGCTGGTCCTGGCTTGTATTTCCCATCAGCTGATGTTGAGCAGCTGCCAGAAAAGCCATGGACGGCGGGGAAGGGAAACCGAGCGAGGACAACACAAGGACAAGCTGAAGGTCAGCCGCCAAACTAAATCTGTCCCTACACAGCCCATCAAGGGGAAAATGGTGACCAAAGACAAGTCTGAGTGCACCTGGGCAGCAACGGGTGAGGAGGTCTTCATCCTCGGTGTCAGCTGCAAGAAGGGGGGCCGGAGCTTCAGCTGTGAATATGTCGCCAATCCGACCGTCTGTCCAGAGTACGTTTCAAATGTCAAACTTTACTGGAAGCAGATCGCCCGGTCGCTGAAGAAGCAGAAGACTCTGTGCAAGGACAGTAGTTCATTGATCAGGACAGGTTTGTGCAAACGAGCTCCCCGAGAGGCTCATTTCAGAATCTATAACACCCCGAGGAAGACTGACAAGCCTTCAGAATCACGGCCAACAGAACCCAAAGCTGTCAAATCCTGTCAGCCCCGTCACAAGAAGCTGGCGGAGGAGCACTGCAACGACTCCTGGTCGAGTTTCTGCACATTCTTCTTCACTATGGTGCAGGATATTGATTGCTGAGAAAGTGAGGACCTAAAATAGATTCAGCTATATATGCAATCACGTTAAGACCTGTCTCTATTAAACATTCTTTATAGATCATTGCTGCTTGTATAGACATATTTCTCCACATGTTCTATCCCTCAATAAACACTTTTCTAGTATTCTCTAATGTTTGTTCTGGGATCTGGTCAATTTGGGAGAAATCTACAGTTCTGATTACTATGGCAAGTTTTGTTTCTAAACATCAGATGTGTATGTCATTTCATTTTTAAAGGAATGTATGTTCCATCATACCAACTGTATCCTTCATTCAAAAAATGTCTTAGTCAAAAGAGCCTCATCTTGTCCTTTTCAGCTGCAACAATTAGAGCAGAATTACAAAACAATGCTGTTCTGAGCCCCTCTACCTTTGAGGTGTAATGCTCGTCTGTTTTTAAAGCGTAGTAAAGTCTTTGGTCTTAGACAAACCATTTCCTGACAATTGAAGACCAAACTATTAATCAAATAATCCAGAAAATAGTTGAATGAACACTGAGACGATCTCTAGGTGATACCTTTAATCTAATTACATACAAATACATGTGTTTCCCAGCATACCCATTTCATTTCAACTCTGCGTCTATCCAAGCTCTTGTCTCTTTTTTCCAAATGCGTGTGCAGAGTCCTGCTGAACGTACTTGTGGGAGATTAGAAGGTTGTGCGTGTTGGGTATTTACACAGTAATTTAACCAGAGGGAGTGAGATTTTTTAGAAAGCCGTGGCCTGCATACTTTGGCACTGACAAGCCTCTGAATTCCCACACGCTCAACTTGCTAAATCAAGGTCAAAGGGCAGCAGGTTCTTGGATTAGATAATGATAACAATAATAGAGATTTGGCAAATCCAACTCAAGGTTGGCAATTATAACATTTCCACTGCATTTTACATTTGAGAAAAATACAGTAAATGTGACATGTCTTTCCTAAAATTGCAATAGCAACCAAATCTATTAAGAGTATCAAAAGTAAAAGTACTCATAATGCAGCGTGGCTACGGTCAGCATCATTATATTATATAACCGGATCAGTATTATCAATTCAATAATGTGTAAGCAGCAGTACTTAAATATTTCTGCATTAGTCAAATGTTAATAACTATGCTACGTTAAAGCCTTTGTAGTTTATTTTGTAACAATGGATTCAGTTTCATAAACGTATTATATCTTTTGAATTTAAAATAATAATAAGAGACACTATCGCTCTTAGATATAACTGAGTAAAGATATCAAATCAATATCATATTTTTTTTCAAAAAAGCCCTCAAAACGCACCTTTTTACCAAGGCTTTCGCCACTGTATAGTTAGTTTAATAGGTTTATTTTTCCGCTACTTCCCCCCCCCACCCCCTTAACCTGTCTGCCTTTTTTCCCCTACTCCCCCCCCCCTACCCGACTTGTAAAGCGACCTTGGGTTTCCTGAAAGGCGCTATACAAATATATATTATTATTATTATTATTATTAATATTGTGGAGTATTGCAAAATGTTACTTAAGTACAGTCCTTGAATAATGTGCTTAGTTACTTTCCATCTCTGACAATGATAAAGTAGATTCATTCATTTGTTCAGGGGTTAAGATTCACTTGCATCAGCTATTCATGTGTGACTTCATCTTATTTGTACCATCAGACTTGTTCGTGACCTAAGGGTTACTTCGAAAAGGTGTAGCAATACTCTCTTGTCCCTTAATTTGAGTTAGCCTTCAGAATGAAATGTATCCCATGTGTATGAGTCTTATTTCTATCATTGGTGGGGAAAATAAGGGCAAGAAACAAGAAAAAAAAGTCCTGAAGTTAAAAGAACAAAATGTGATATCAGATCTCGCTAAATCAGACAAGTGTCAGTACAAATGTTCACTTCAGAGATCACAGAGAGACATTTTTAGGGAAGCGGCTGACATACTTTCTCCACCCACAGCTCCAACAGACCAGAACAGAGCAGCCTCGGGGACGTGCTGTGATTTGAGAAAGGGGAATGACTCATTCTTGATGATTTTAGCTTCATCCATCATAATGCACTACCAACAGCCGAAATCCATCAAAATCCAAAGACTCTCAGCAGGTTGCATTCTGGGCCATGTATACAATCCCTTAATGGGGACATGAGGCAGCAATGTGGCTGCAACCAAAAGTCAATTAGAGGGCAGTCGTAAAATATATGCAGGAATGCGAGGAACTAAAGGAATGAGTTTTCTTTTCAAGCATGACTTTGAGCAGCAGCAGCAGCAACTGAAAACACAAGACTTTGATTCTGTGGGTCAGCTTGTGAAATGTGAGGCAAAGCAGACTATTAGTAAATACACATCCCATCAAAAAGACAGAAAAAACCCTATTAGTTATTATGTTAACAACTATAAATTGATTAAACAACAGGACTGAAGTCAGTGTTCAAATCTATTGAAATCATTTCACATTAGGGGCCAACTGTCCTTTTCAAACGCAAGTAAACCGAGAAAAAACTATATTATTAGGGATGTTAATGGGAATAAAAATGTACTAAATACATTTAATATGCAATCATTTGAATGCCTCGGACCAATTTCAGTGACATTTGAATGAGCAGCTATTGTTATTCCCTCGGTCCACAT